TGTCCCCCACATCCCTCCACAGCTACTCACATCCCCCCCTTCCCACCTCCCTCCTGCAAACCCCACAACCCCCCAGCACACACTCTGCATGCCCAGCTGCCAGACAGGATGAGACCTGCTGGCAGGAGCTGTGGCTGCAGGGGCAGCTGTCCCCACATCTTGGTTAGTGAAGTGGTCAGGGGGAGCTCTAACTGCTCTATGGTAAGAAAACCAAAGGCAAACAGTACCAAGACATATAGGTATTTAGAATTCATTTTATTATGATGATAGAGACACTGGTAGGCTTCCAAATTGCTTTAACAATTTGGATAAATCAATAAAACATTGCCCAACATCTCTCTCTCTCTCTCCTCTCTCACATCTCTATAGTGGTCTTTTGTTTTAATTGTGGATTTTGGGGTATTTTACAGAGTGACTTTGGGATTTTTTTATCAGGGATTTTTCAGTTTTCAAATAGGGAACACCAGAATTCCTTCTAGGGATGCCAGTGGAGGACACAGTCAGAGGAGCCGGCTCAGAGCTTGCACCTTGGACCCAGATGGAGGTGGCCGACCTCCTAGCCAACTGGAGCCAGGAAGACATGCTTTGACAGTTCAAAGTGGGCCACTACAGTGGGAACATCTTTCAGGCAATAGCTGCCCAGATGGCTGGGCAGGAACACATATGGCAGTAGTGCCACACAAAGGCCAACCCTGCAGCCACAGCCCACTGGCAGCTGGCCCAGAGGGGCGTGACTCTACTGGTCATGCAGTCCCCATCCAGGTCTGGCAGGTGTGCAGCAGGTCACAGCCAGGCAGCCGCCCCCGCTGCCAGACTGCTGCAGTGGGTAGAGGGTGCAGAGAACTCTCAGGGCTGCTTCAGCAGGCCAGCTGGCACAAGGGGTAGTGTCCCCAGGTACCAAGTGGCTGGGCCCCAGAAGCTCCTGACAGCGAGTAACACATAGCTATGTGCCAGGGCAGATTTTTGTACTGATAGGGCCAGGACAGAGCAGCTTTTTATACTGCTGGGGACAGTACAGGTACTGGCCCTGGGCTCTAGCTCCCCCTGGCTGCAGATCCACCACTACTGAGATGAACAACCTCAGGCACCATGAGATGCTATGCTTTGGGGTAATGAATTCCCTGCATAACCCCTTCATGCTGGCATTTCCCTGGCTCATCTGCCACAACTCCCTAGTCAGATGGAAAGGGCTAGAGGTTTCCTTTGATTTCAGGTACTGTTGGCAACACTACTGGAAACGCAGGACAGCTGCCCACTAGATGAGACCACTGTTGTTGTACAGGGAGCACAGCCCCCAGAGGCAAGATTCTGGTATTTTTGAATTGGGCTGGAATACACTAATGTATTTGAGAAGAAGAAGGTTGAGGTCCTCCCCACACATTGGGATTACAACTGCCCTATTGACCTACAGTTGGGAGCAAAGATCCCTACAGAACACATCGATGCCATGTCAGGAACTGAACTTGCCACCCTCTGTGAATATCTTCAGGAAAAACTAGCCTGGGGATTCATAAGAATGTCAAACTTATCTACTTCCCCTCTCACATTCATGAACCACAAGAACCTAAAGTATTTCCAGAATGCTAAGGCACTCAAGCAGAGACAACTTTGAGCAGTCTTCTTCTCCCAGTTTGACTTCCAGGTAACTTACCAGCCCAGACCTAGAAATGGGAAGGCAGACACCCTCTTGCGGAAGGCTGAGTATGATACAGACTTATCACAAAAGCCATACAAACCTAACCTGATTTTGATGCCTCAAAACTTCATCAGTGCCATGCTGCCGACAGACTAGCTCTCCATGCTCTGTGTCACTACCTGAGAGAAGATAAAATACCCCCAGAAGAACAGACCATCTTTATGCAACAAACACACTGGGCTCTAGGATGGGGTCATATTTATCTGAGATAGAAGCTACATATCCCCAAGTTTGGTTAGACTACCTATCCTTCACCTAAACCATGACCTCTCTGCCCCGCTCCACCCCCACCCCCACCCCCACCCCCCAACAGGACCCCTGGAACCAAAAAGACCCAGTGCCTCATCTCTTGCTACTTTTGATGGGTGCAATGGTGCAAGACTGTGTAGACCTTCGTCCACCTTTGCAAGGTTTGTACCAGTGCCAAGAGACCCCCCTCAGCAGCCTTGTGGACTCCTCTAACTCTTCCACCCATCTCATCCATGATCTGCAGTTTCCAGTCTCAAATGGTTGCTCTGTGATCCTGACTGTAATGGACCAACTCTCTGCATCCTGTGCCAGGCCTTCCCTCAGCAAAAGATATAGCCCAGCTGTGGTTGGACCACATGTGGGAGGCCATGTGGTGCACTTCCATGGCCTCCCAGATTGTGCCACATCAGCTCATGAAGCCCAATTCATCTCCTGGTTCTGGTGTGAAGCCCTGTGCCTACTGGGTGTCTGTGCTCATCTTATGTCAGCCTACCATCCCCAGGCAAATGGTCACGCTGAGAGAAGCAATCAGGTCTTAGAATGATATCTTAGCTCTTACCTTCATTTTTCACCAAGACAATTGGGTCTCTTAACACTTACAGAATTCTTATACAACAACTCTGAGCATGCCTCAACCAGGCAAAGCCCTTTCTTTGCAAGTTATGGGTTCAAACCCCTGTTTCATCCCACTTTACCTGCAGACTCTGACAATCACATAGCAACAGATTAAGTACATCATGTTCAGAAAGTCCAGGAGGAATTAAAGCAACACTGGGAAAGGGCAAAAAAGGCATATAAGCAGCAGGTGGAGCAGCATCGCCAGCCAGGGCCTGCCTAATCCATAGGGCAGAAAGCGTGGCTGCCAACTGAACATCTCCATGCTGACCAGCCCTCAAGGAAAATGGATCATCATTTCCTTTGCCCCTTACACATAACCTGACAAATTATAAGCCAGTAGACTTTGAATTACAACTCCCACAGACACTGAAAATCCACCTGGTATTTCATGTGTCACTACTTAAGCCGTACACAGAGAATTCTTTCCCATGCCATACCCATACCCAACCTCTCTCCCCGCCCCCCACCCCCACCCCAGACAATCCAGGAAGAGGAGAAGTATATAGGCCATAAGATTTCAGATTCAAAGTGGAGATGGGGGAAGTTGCACTATTTGATATACTAGGAAAAATATGGGCCAACGATTGTATGTGAGCCAGCAGAAAACACCCATGCCCCAATCTGCTGAAAAAATTCCATGAGGACAACTTAGAGAAACTTGGGGCCTCTGCCTGACCAGAAGAGCTGCTCATCTTGGCATGCCACCCTGATCAAAGCTGTCCTGAAGCTTCCGGTGGGGGCCTAGACTTGTGTCCACTCACCAGCACCTGAGTGTCTGTCTGGGGTTAGCTGACCCTTCAGTTCCTCCATATAAACCCCTGACCCAAAATAGGACAACAAGCCTAGTGGGCGTAACCTGATCCCAGACTGCCTTGCTGTTCCCTCCAGCTTGTCCTGGAACTCTGCTCTCTGTTTGGTCTCCTCACTTTCTGGCTCTGCCTATTCCTATTCTCTGTGCTCAAATTGACTTCCTGGTTTCCTGGACAATGTTGTCCCTAGAATTAGCTCATTCTTCCTGACCCTGCTCAGTACCTTGATCCCCAAGTGCCCCAGACCTGTCCACCCACACCATAGTGATGCATAAAATATTTTAACTTTGAAGCAAAAGGAGAAATCAAAACCTCCTTTAATGTGTATGACTATTGCCACTAATTTACAAGAAACACTAAATAAATGCCCATGACAGAATCCTCATAAAATTTTGAAAAGCAGACTTTATTTAGTAGGCACATCATTGCTTTAGTAGACTGAGCTGCACAGCTCATTTTATTTCACCTTTTGTGAATGTTTTTATTTGATTACACTGCATTTCTCCATGTCTGTGAGGATTCAAGTAAAAAAAAATGCTGTTTTGCTTCACTAAAAGATGGAAAAATAACAGTAAAACCAACTACACTACCATAGCTGGATATAAAAAAGAACTGTTGTTGGACAGAAGACACTGTAATCTGAGCACTGATGAAACTGCAACACAATCATGCTGAGCTTGTGCAGATAAGAGTTTGCATCACATGGGATGATGCATGCTGCTCACTAATAAAATAGGGAACAAAGAATCTGCTCAACACAGACATGGGTAAGGGTCTCAAAACAATACAATTCATATGAATTAATTTCCTTACTATGTTTGTAAAAGTTTGCTCTCAGCTGCAAGGTTAAAGGCTTAAAGGAAAGGTACTGCTCATCATACTATACTAACTCATTATCAACCAGCTGGCTTAAACTGCAGGTGTTACAGATTTCTATTCCAATAGAAAAACATTTTTGAAGAGATACAAACATAGAGTCTTGCATTATTTTACTGGCTAAGAATTTTATCTGATTGGCATTTCTCTTCCTTGAAAAGCTGTATTTTATTAAACTGTACCTGCAGAAACAATACTTTCATATGCATGAGAAAATGTGACTCCTAATGTACAACTTCATGTGCATTGTAAAAGAAGCACATACGGCATGAAGAATTTTTGAACATGGCAAAATTATTTTGAGTCATAGTAAGTTAATAGCTTTGATTTTTTTCACAAGCTTTATTTTCTGTTTTCTCTACAGAAGTTTCTGAATTTAATATCTTTTTTAAAAATACGTTCTAATGTTGTGTATAAGACAGACAAACTAAAAACCTAAAAATGTTTCACACTGTAATGTGCACTAATTATCTTAGCGTCTAGCATTTTACACTGAATGTACCTACTACATTTGAAAAACTCATTTTAAAATCAGCTTGTCAAAGCTTTCAAGAAGCTATCTGGGAAATCAGTTTGTTTGTTTTAATGAATAGGGTGAATATAGCCAGTTACAGAATTACAGGTCACTTTCTCCATACAATGCTGATGAAAACACAGTGTAATCCAGAGCTCCCGAGACAGAACCAGGTCCGGTGTAGGGAGGCATTCTTTTGATGCAGTACTGAGCTTGCTCAGGAGGCAGCTCTCGACGAAGCTCTTCTGCGAGAATATAGGGCTGAAAAACAATTCCCCCCCACCATTAAAGCAGGTACAAAGCATCCCATTTAACCATTATTTGGCTGTATTTTACAGCAGTAATATTAATAAACTGTTTTCCAACTCCCCAAAATAGTTCTGCTTAGTTTTAACTTCAGCTACGAGCAGGTGCAAATAACCCCTTCTGAAAACAGATTGGGTCAAAGTCTACCCTTCTCAGGGTATGTTTACCTTGCAGTCACACTTTTCAGCAGTATTTCAGATTGTGCTGAGCTCTGTGCTGCCACAGTAAAACTGCTACCAGGTCCCAACCTAATTTCAAGCTGGCTCATGTATGCCTATAGGATGCTTCCATGATTTCTGTGAGAGCAATGTAGACATACTTTCAATCATATGCTGATAACTTCAGTGTGAGAGGCTGTTTTCTTAATGAAACAGGGTGATATATTTCATTGGACCAATAGAATCTTTTATTGTTGGTCCAATAAAAGATATCACTTTGTCTCTCGCATAATTCTTGGACCTTCTTGGTTACCACATCACTCTTACACTATGTACACTTCAATGCTATTGTAAATCTATAAGCAAGCATTTACTGTCATTGTTCCTGCTTTCAATTTATAACAATAAAAAGGCATCCTTCTACTATTCTTAGTATGATTTAAAAGGGAAGTATAATAACAACATGTGTGATGTTTATGTTTTGTAGAATAAAGCACTAATCCTACTTTCTTGAGACTGTGACCTGAATTTCATGGCAAATTCCTGGTGGGAAAGTGTCTGAAAAATCAGTCTGGCCCTTACAAGCTGAGATCACAGAATCAATACAGAGGCCCAAACCGAGTCTCCTACAACAGTAGTCACTGTTCTCGTCTGAGTACAGATGCTTTTTTTCCTACAAGCACTGCCTCATATACTGGTTACTCTAGAACAGTGGTCACCAACCAGTCAATCTCGATCGACTGGTCAATTGACAGTCTGTCAGAGGCTCCATGATTGGGAGCGGCAGGATGCACATAGCTGGGCTGGGTGAGTGGCATCAGAGCCCAGGCAACTTGTCTGGGAGGCAGGGCAGTAGATCCTGGGGTGCCAAAAAGTGATCTTCAGGATAAAAAGGTTGGAGACCACTGCTCTAGAACATGAGCGGACTCTCTTTCCCCAAGTCATGCACTGCCAACTGGTGTATTGAAGGGAGCATGTTGCACCTTCTTGTGGAAGCATGTTACTGATCCTGAGCACCCAGTACTTTGAGGAACTTGTGTACTTCCCAGTGTTTTGCTCTGGCAAGGCATCACTGTAGCACTGCCACCCTCTAACACAGATGTGTTATAAAAGTGTGATCTGGCTCAGGATTAGGTGCAACTGGTAGTTTGTTCAGCAGATCTAAACTGCATTTAAAATCAGCTAAATTCTACAGCATTGCCCAGCTGCGGCTGTGAGTAGAAGTTATAAGGAAGTCTATGACAAGGGAATTACCCCTCAAATCAATCCTGTCGCATGGATTTGAGTGAGCGTATGGCATGCCCACTAGAGATGCAGGCTGTGTCACTGGAGTATAAACTCTGTGACACGTTGGATTTTTCCTAATGCTTTGTTAGATGAAAGGATAAGGAGTCAGCTTTGAATTTCACACACATTCCAGTTAGTCAGTTGGGTCAAAGTCCGAAACTGCTGCACAAGAATAAAAGGTGAGAGCTTTATTCTATAGTCTTACTACCTGAAAAGAGAACCTAGCAAGAAATAAGATTTTGTATGAGACTTTTAGTAAAGGAAGGTTAAATAACAGAGTTTCTGAATAGAGAGAGGTAAAGTGCAGGTAAATCCTTAGAGCCCAGCACTAAAAGGACTGACCTTATCTGAAGCTAAGATTCTGAAGGAAGCTATGACTTGCTCAGCTGTGTCTGTGTCCGCAGTCTCTCTGGTCATGAAGTCAATGAAAGACTGGAAGGAGACAGTTCCTTGCCCATTGGGATCAACCAGGGTCATGATTCGGGCAAACTCTGCTTCACCCTTTTACAAAATTCAAAAGAAATTGTCAATACAAACTCTAACATATATGGCATATTACTAGAGACTCTGGGTAAATTTTTTAAAGGCACTTAAGTAATTTAGGAACCTAAATGTTGTGGAAATTTAACAGGATTTAGGCTCTATACTGTCTATATCACCTTTAAAAGTGTGACTTAAAACATTTTTTAAATTTTATTCTGTCTTGTAAAGACAGCAGCTTTTACCACTCTGAAAGAATTTTCTAAATTATTTCTACGTACTTTTGTTCTTCTGTCTTTTTTTTTTTTTACCAAAGGCTTGGTGGATTGAAGGATTTTAACTCAGTCCTTCATTATTTCACCCTGTTGGCTCCCATTGACATCTATGTAAAAAAATTCAATTTTTAGCATAAAGAGGAGCAGGTTCTGTGACACTGGTCTTGGAAGCAATTCTGCACTGATTATCTCATGTTATTGTGGAAACCCAATAACATCACCTGGTGGTTTTGGCCGTCGGAAACTACTTTCAGGACTGGGACCTATGCTGACCAATAACATGCTGAAATGTGAAGTTTCACAAATTATTCTGGTGTTCATATTTATCAAAAGAATTTATTAAAATATTCTTCCTAATGCAATAATTTATTTCTAGGAATATTTTTCAGTTACAAGAATATGTCAAAGAGATTTAAAATAAATAATTCAGTTACAAGAATATGTCAGAGATTTAAAATAAATTCATAGATTCATAGATTCATAGATTAAGGGTCGGAAGGGACCTAGTAGATCTTCTAGCCCGACCCCCCGCCAGGGCGGGAGAACAACAAAAACCCCAAAAAGAGAAATGGGACTCAAACGAGTCCAGCTAGGTGGGCATCCAGCCTCTTCTTAAAGACCCCCAAAATAATAGATTTAAACTCAAAAGACGTATGTTAATTTATCAACTGGAAAATTAAAGGAATATTTTTTATAAATTGAAGCTAAATGCAACAGAGCATGAAAAAATGCTTTCAGGGCTATATTTTAAAAAATTTTTAGACATTAAAAGTATAAAAGAAAATGGAAAAAGAAAATATCTGAAGTGTAAATATGATTAATTGCAAACTATGATAAGCTTTATGGTAGCTGTGGTTAACATTATGAGTGATACACAAATTGAATTTCACTGTATCTTAAAATTCATACCAAATCATAACCCATTGAAATTAAGCAAGCTCTGAAATCGTCATGATCCATCAGCCCATTCTTCTTCTATTGATCAAAGCAGCATAAGGAATACAGGAGGGAAGGTTTGAGGTATCAAAGACAGGTAGGAGACCATCACCATTTCCATAAAGATGACGAATTTATGTCAGCAGAAGTTTGGATCCATGGAATGAGAGGATGTTCATTGCCAAAGCGAGTCATGAGGAGCATCATCAATTTAAAACAGTTGACACATCACACACGTCAAACAGACATCACAAGGTATGATACCAGAAGAAGGGGAGGTCAAATACAACATATGAACATACAGAGCACAACCAAAGAAGAGAGAAAGGCAGAGAAAAGTTTGTCATTGAAATAGCCAAAGTCATGAAAAGTAGGCTGCTTCGTTGTGATGCAACACAGTTTAAGGATTCAGTGTTGAAATATTTATCAGAAGCTGTAGCATCCTCTAGTGACACATTAAAGGCATACTGGAAAAAAGTTCATTCCTCTATATTTAAACTATTGTACCCCAGAGCCCAGGCAGACTGAACTGTGTGCTGAAACAAGAGTTTTCTTTCCTTTAACAACTAGCTAATGGGATTCAGTTTTCAGCAGAGATCTGAGCCTGAGGTCAATGGAAAAAAGTAAATTGTTCTATACCCAGCAAAGGTCTGGCCACAAGCAGGTTTCTTACCATCACCCATTTCTGAGTAGCAAGGCAAGGGCGGCACCCATCGCCTGTTGCTGAGAATGGTCACTGAAATGGGGTGATGGTAAGAAATATTGAAGACAGAAGTAAGATAAAGTCTACCTGTACTAGCCAGTTCTGTGTTCTAACCTAATTCACTGCTTCGCAGAGTGCCCTGCTTCTACTGGGTCATTCTGAGCACAAAGGAGAGCTCATGCTTGGAAGCGTGAACAATGAACAACTGGCAGCAATGTATGGGATGGGGAAGGCAGCAGCACCTCCATTGTTATTTATCAGAATCCAAATAAACAATCTTAAATCAAACAAAACCAGCAGATGACAAAACTGTATACACTGGAGGTAAAATCCACACCCTCTTCAGCCTATTATTATGCTGATCTATCCGAAAACAGTCATTCATCAGTTTCCTCTACCTGCCGGTCATTTCCAACCTGTCCGAGACTGATGAGGCTGGCTTTAAATTCATCAGAGTGGAGATTTCCAGATTCATCCTAGCATCACATCAGGGGTCATGCATGCAGCACGTAAAAGGAGGGGAAAAAGTCACAAATCAGGTTAGTTGGGTATTGCAGAACAGTCTGAAGTCCTATCAATAATGAGTTCAGATCAGACCAGATCATCAATAATGAGTTCAGATCATTGCGTATATGTGCAGCACTCTATTGTTGGAATGATTTGAAAATTACAGTAGCGTATTTGTTCCCATTGCTTTTCTTGTTCTTACTTCAACTGCAATGCTGAACTGTCACTATTATGTAAAAACCAATTCACCCCCACTCTTCTAAACATACATTTTCACTGAATGTTTTCTTCCTGTATGCTACCAGTTTTGTCCTTCATTTTCTGTTGGCATACCATATAATGGGCATGGACAGACATAACAATTATAGCAGTTTTAAATACCTCTGAAGTGCTATAGAAAGTGAGCAGGCAGATGAAACACAGTGTTATAGTGCTACAAAAAAAGGCTTTGAAATGTATAAAAAATGACCCTGACTAAAACAGGGATAACACTGAAGTGCCTCACAGGCAGTTGTACATATGCAGACTATGGAAGTGCTCCAGATGAAAAGTACTTAAAAAAGGAGGGACCTGAAGCTCATGTTTGTCTGCCCATTATAGCAGATAGAGTCAATGGATAACTTGACTTGAACAAAGCCATTCTATTAAGGTTGTCACTACTCTCTTGATTTGATTTTTTTAATGGAATAAAAGAGAAGAACTTTATTTTTGCTTAAATGCAAAAGAAAAACCTGATCAGTCATGTAATTTGTCTTCTTTTATGGCCTTAAAGTGGGGTCTGCTTTGAATATGGACTATAAAAATGACAATGGGGTGTTCTAAGTTTAACCTCCCAATTACTCCAAATCAAATTTGCTCAATTTCCTAAGTTACTTATCTTTTCTAACAACTAGCCCAACAAATGTATGTTGAGTTCTGAAAAATAGACTGGTTTCTGGATTGAACATCAAGCATAATGCCTGAACCAATTAAGGTATTTACAGATTTAATTAAGATGCATGCCATTAAGGTTTGTCTCCAAATTCTGCAAGTAGTTTCCTTTGATGGTCTGAAAGACTGACCACTTATAGAACTGTGCTAGGCCCAATTTTTTTCTGTGGCTTCCACATGAGAGAAAAAGAACTTGGGTCAGTAGGTTAACAATCTATTTTTGAAAGGAGACTCCTATATACATATATTTGTTAAAACCATACATGGTCTCAGAGAGGTATTGGATGCATTAAAAAATACACTGGTACCACGATCAGTTCCTGTCTCCCAACATTTTTAGAAAAATAGTGATGTTGTAACATTTGTTCTATCTGCCATTAATCTCCCACAGCTCCACAGAGTGCAGATGAGAGGCAGCAGTACAAAGCCAATGTTTACAGATAGGTTGGGGATGAAAATTTTGAACAGGGTTTCTTGAAATGAATGAAGACAATCAAGTACTTCCTTTAAATTCAGCCATAATTAATGGGACAATGTTTGCTGTGAAGTACCTTATTTCAAACAATTACTATAGACTCCCAAACATGCCAATCCATTCTGACTCATAACTCATAAGAACATAAGAAGTGCTATACTGGGTCAGACCAATGGTCCATCTATCCCAGTATCTTGTCTCTGGCAATGGCAGGTGTGAATGTTTGACTGGGATAGAATATACACAGAGTATAGAGTAATCTGTCCCCTGTCATACCCTCCTGGCATCCATCATCATTGGTTCAGACATGCCAGCGGATATATCCTTGACTGCTCTGCTTAATAGCTATTAATGGATCTACCACCCACAAATTTGTCTAGTTTCCTTTTGAATCTGGCTATCGTATCTGTCTCTACAACCTCCTGTGCTAATGAGTTCCACAAATTAACTACATGCCATACAAAAAAAAGTATTTTCTCTTGTTAGTTTTACACCTGTCTCCTGCTAATGTCAGTGGGTGCCCCCTATTTCTAGCATTCTAGGACTTGGTGAATAACAATTTCCCATTGACTTTGTCCATACACATCATGATTTTATAGAACCCTACCATCTCCCCCCTCAGCCTTTTTCCTTCCAAACTGAAGAATCCTAGCCCTTTTAGTCTCTCCTGGTACGGCAGCTGCTCTATCCCCTTGATCATTCCAGTACCTTTTCTAAGTCTACTACATCCTTTTTGAAATCTGGAACCAAAACACCACACAGTAATCAAGACATGGATGCACCATGGATTTCTATAGTTGCATGCTTTCAATTCCTTTCTTAATGGTACCCAATGCTTTTTTAAACTTTAGTTATTAATAAATCCAACTTACCAAAGATGTCCAACATTTTAGGGGCTTTTTTTTGGTTACCACTCCACACTGAGCAGATTTTTTTAGAAAACTGTCTACAATGCCTCCAAAATTTCTCTCCTCTCCAAGCTCACTTCTGGATCAGCTCCAAGAGAAAATTACACCAGGAGTGAATTCACATATTCAACTTTATTTATAAGGCCTAGCAGAGTATAAAAAACATGACAGGAACTAATAGTCAAATCCTCTCTCACTCTCTGTGAGCCTGTTGGAGCCAGACTATGGAGGAATTAGGACTGTTTGACCAAGTTTGGTGGTGGACAGTATTGGCATGTGCCCCTGCTTTTTGTACAACCCAGCCCTTGTTGTACAGCAAACATATGAGGGCACAGTGCAGGAGCTGTAAGACCTATGAATCCATAGCTACGTGTATCTATCAATCGTCCCCTGAATAGGTGTGTGGAAGGAAACAAATGTGATGCCAGAGTTAGTATCCACTTCACGAGCTGGGCGTGGTTGCTTGTACCAAGTAGTAAGGCAACATCGGAGGCTTCATGAATTTTGTAACATGCATTGATCCTGGTCTAAAATACATCCCTTTTTATGCCACACATCAAATAAACATAGAATCATAGAAAATTAGGGCTGGAAGAGACCTCACATGGTCACCTAGTCTAGCCCCCTGCTCAAGGCAGGATTGTCCCTGACTAAACTATCCCAGCCAAGTGTTTGTCTAAGTTACTCTTGAAAACACAATTGTACTTCATATGAAGACACCTTACAATGAAGTCACAGATCTCTTTCTATTGCTTTCCCTATTTTAAAATATAACGTGATGACTCATATATCGAGAAAAGTTTCTTTATATTTGCGTTGTTTACAAGCCAACATTAAAGATTTACATGAGTTCTAAAGGGATATAAATAACTTTGCCTTCTTCATCCTTCCCTTCCAACCCAGAACAAAACACTGAAATCTCCTGTCTTGTCTCATTATTAATCCCCTAAAACTTGTCCTTTTCCCTCTTTGATTTATATGTGGCCTTCTACAAAGACAAAATTCTAAGTGAAAGTAATGCATCCTCAATGAATGTTAATTTATCTGTATTAGTTTACTGATGTGTATTGTTTTAGAGGAAGCTGTTAGGTAAAATATAGTGTCAATCTTGCTATTGTTTTCCATACAAAGTTCCCATTTAAAGTCTGTGGTTTGCACAAAAAGTAGACTTTGGCTCAGAGTCGCTTCCTCCGACCAGGGAAACAAGAACTTCACCTGGTATTGCATATATAGCTACAGTAGATAATCATATACTTTGCAATCATGTGTTTATTGAACTGCATCAAATCTGAAATAAGAACCTCTACCATTAACATGACGTGGAAACCAAGAAAGAACAGAGAGTTGCCAGCTGCCAAATATACCGTTCACTATTCCAATTTCTGTTTATGAAAAATCACTTGTACATCACTTTGAGCACCAAAAAAACTTTCAGCTCTAAAGTGAATTTTGCCTCTGTCCTTTTTATTTCCTGTTGCAATAAATTTGAAGAGACAGAGAAAATATACCAGCTCTACAGATCATGAATGTCCATACTTGGAACTAGATTGTGCCTTCAGGCACAGCCTTGAACAAGATATGGTAAGCTCCACCCATGTAGAAGCCATTCAAAATAATGTGGGCCTAATCCTAAGACCCTCATTCTCAGAGGGAAGGACTGCAAAATCTATTTTTAATGGTAACAGATTTTGCACTACAATATAATTATGATGTTGTTTCTTTGCAAATGCTTTTCCTAGAAATGTAGTAAGGGATTCCCCTCTCAAATCTATAACTACATGAAGTTCTCCTTGGAGGTAGTCTATAAACAGTTGTTAGTCTCATGCATCTCAAAATAAATGAGGAGCAGTTAGTAACTCTTTGCAAATTAGTACTTCGATAATATTCACACAAACACAGCTTCATAGTTTAGATTTTGGTTTAAACTGAAAGACTGCCAAGAAACATTAAGCTAAGACATTCATTAATGATCCTGTTGTGTTTATATATTTAAAGCCTACTCATCAGGCATTATATTAATATTTTGGATCTTTGGTAAATGTTTGTCATTGTGAATTACAGTTTAATTCTTTCAATGTATTTGTACAAATACATCATACATAAAACCACTGTCTGAAACAATAGAATTATTCATTATAAAAGTAAAACCAACATTTTGTCTTACAGGGAGAATATGATGCTTTTCATGTTTTTAGAGCCAAATTCAGGTGACCCAATGTCACCTTCATTTCAATTCAAGGCAAAGGATTTCATAATTTTGCTGTATCTGTCTAAATATCCAGCTTAGAGAATCTATTCTCAAGTATACCTAAATAAACTCTGAAGCAGAGTTGATACCTTTTATCCTCTGACATTGAATATTTAAGTGTGTGGGAATGAAGGGAAGATATAAAATTGAAAAAGCATCTTCAGTCTCTCAGGTGAGTTTCCTCAATGAAAAAAAAATCACTGCCTCCTAACTTTTGTCAACTGAATCACATCTTCCCATTAAATTAGACTTTAATTCATCCATGCAACCTTCACTCTTATCAGCATTTCCACTATCTGTGCATGCAGGAAGACTGCTTTAATAGCTGGGTATTTTAGCATTTTACTTTTTCCTTTCTTAAACTTTCACACTGGTGAATATTAACTACTCTCTAGTCCTCTGGTTTTACCTTCTTTCCCTAGGGCCTGGCCTCTCCTACCCTGCATAAATCTTTGTCAAAACACTACCTTACTCTTGGCCCACTGCATACAGCTGCTATGCTTGTGTATTGTTTCCTCTAGAATCTCTAGGTCTGATTGCTGGTTGCTGAAAAGGTGGAAGCTCTGTAACAAAAGAGTTGGCTCCCATAAAGCTTTGCTTCTCCATATAATCTTCATGCCTTCTGAAGTACCAAGAGCATGGCCATACACTTATGTGGCTACCACAGCCTGGGCTTCACCAGCTTTCCATGCCATCCTCTCAAAGCCATTGGAGCTGGCTGAGAAGGCCAGAACCAGAGGGATTAATAAGCAATAAATATGTGCTTCATGGAGGCATTTGGTATTTTGCCTAAACAGGTAATATTAGTTAATATAAAGCTTGTAAGTTTGTAAACCACAAATGTAACTTGTCTGTCATAAGTTTAACCAAAATAATAAAATGAACTATTTGTGGAACTGACTGGGCCCCATAGGCAAAGCTGTAGATGTGAGATTAGCTGACCTAACGGTTTCTGCTCAGGGCTCAGCTATGACGATAAAAAACTGGATCCAACTGCCTGGCACACCCAACACATTCCAGGAAAGCACATCCCAAGAAAGCATATTCAAATGAAACCTAAAAGGGGTTGGGGCTTAGGTGGAGCAATGTCAATTCAAACCTAAACGTGCTGCATTATAATTTGCTTATTGGATAAACCTAAGTCTGGGTAGTAACCTTTTATGATAATTTTTAGCACCTTTCAATCCCATAGGGTAACAGCTATAGGGAAACATTATGAGAGGCTCTAAAGCCAACAGATTAACATAAGACTAGGTATAAAAAGCACGTGCATCAGGTAACCAGCAGGAAGAAGGGAACAGAACTGTCATTTATGTTCCACACCCAGACACCGGACTCCCGGTGTGAGTGAGGATTGGATCCTGATCAAGGGACCTTCCCCAGTAATCCTTCTGACAGCATAGATCGGGGACACCTGACTTTGCTGGAATCACTTGACGTGTACCTAGCATTGAGGGACTATCGATAAGTTGCCAACCCATGTCTGTCTATCTGTTGTTTTGAACAAGCCCAGTGGCTAATACCCTCGCAGTGCCCAGTTGGCCTGTGACAGAACTGATCTATCTATCTGTTGTTATTATCTGTTATTTACTATTAGCTCTTTAATAGCATTTATTTTTTCTGTTAACTGTTGTGTGTGTGTAAGCTATAATAAATTTGTCTTTACTTCACTCCCAACTTTGCCTCCTCGATCCGAAACTAAATCAAACAGCCCAGTTGGCCTGTGATAAAACTGATACGCTCACAGTGCCAGCTGGCCTGTGACAGCTGGCACTGCTGCTATTTAGGGGGGCAAAAAGCCCTTCTTCTAAATTCATGAGAGCTAACTGCTAGAACTGGCTAGACCAGTGGCCCTTAACACATGGCTCACATGACCCACAAGACCTTCCAATGTTGTTTGTGGCTATAGAAAATTAAAAAGTTAAAACTGAGGCTGAAAAAGAAAGTAAAATGGGATGTGGTTGCCCACTATGCATTACCTCCTGTTATCTAGGGAGCAAGCAAAACTGTGGGGACTCCTGGACTTCACAGTGCAAATTCTGCTGTAATCGGTCATCTTTGTGAAAAGGTCCTTCTTTTCTTTAATAGATTCACTTAAACTATATGGTGTAATAAATCTGGGCCTGATGTTCTTGTCTGCTTTTAATGTCTCTAATTGCTCAATTATCTGCTCCAGTGCACTGTGAAAGCCTTTTAGCTTCCTACCCTGGGAAATTTATTGTTGTCTCTAGGATGTTATCCTCTGCTTTCTTACTGAATGGAAAGAGGAATTACATTGCACTACAATTATATTTAGTTTTTCCATAAAATATATCACTGACTCCTGTGATCTACCCTCTTTTAACTTATGGGTGCCTATACATGAGCAGCAAGGCTGTTCCAACATGCTGTAATTACAGTGCATTGGAGTATGGTAATTATTACTGTGCTCCAGCAGCCCCCAGCATCTTATGCATCAGCATCCCTGTGCTAAAAAATGGCAGTGGGGGCACTTTATCTAAAGCTCATTCAAAAAGCTTTGAGTGTGGGGACACTGACACATGAGACGCTCTGGGTGCTTTAATTAGAGCAGCTCTCAGAGTCGCTCTAATTAGAGTGTCTGCCCCCCTCTCCCAGAACACATGTATAAACACCCTATGTATTTGCCTCTAATGCAGAAAGTTTTGTTTTTCTCTGAAAGGCCAGGTACCAAGTGACTATCCCAATGTATACAAGAATAAATCCATGTGCATGTAAACCAATTTGGTTTCAGGAGTGGGAGTAACAATTCAGCTAACTGGATAAAGATGAAAGGGAAAAGGCACTGAGCCTTGAATGGTTAGTGAGTGTGTGTGGCCTGGGTGTGTGTGCAGATCTCTGGAGCCAAGGCTGGTTTAAAACCAGTGGTCCCAGAGGGTCAAGGCAAGCAATTCTGCACAACCTGGTGATGGAAGGAATTGGTACTGGGAGAAAGCATATAACAGGCTAGTGCTTTAATGTAAGGGACTATATCTCTGTGTACCATATACAATTACCTATTTTCTTTTTTATTTTAATAGGTTCATGCAAATATTGAATCATCTGTTTTGCTCTGCATTATATATCAAACTTGAACAGAAATTTATCTTTAAATCATCTATATAATCAATACTATGATTTTAAGAGAATATGACTCCTTTTTTATTTTTCTTTATTACTCATGAAATGATCTATTCTAATACATCTTGGATTTTTTTTAAGACAGTGACATTTAAAATGAAGAGAAACTTGCTTTTGGGAACTATAGAAAATGTAGGAGTACTGTACCCTATCAAAGTGATTGAAGGATGCTCTGAATTCATTCATTTGTTCTTGAGTGATACCCTTGGCATCTCTTGTAAGGATCTGAGTCTCAACTTCATTGATAGTTCGGGCAATGGTGGTCAGGAGGAGTTCCCATCCAACACGGACATGCTATAGGAGAGGACACACAGATTCTTCAAATTAGTCATAAAACACAGCTATTTAGATTACAAAAAGGAAAGTAAAAGAGAAAACAATGGCAGCTGGAATATTTATATGGAGAGTTGCTTGTTAGCTCTAGCCTATTACTATGAATACATCAGAAGTACAGGTTGTGGCAGAAGGTCACCTCTGGTTCTCCCCAAAACTCTGCTCTGTGACAATTTGGTTAGGATGGGCACAGCAGAGGATACACACCTTACCCTATCTCTTTAGGTAACCTGAGCTGGATCCATTCCTGAGGGAGGGGGGAAACCTGCTCCCTCTGCCTATGTGACTGGCATCATATACCTGGGTGATGGGCTTGGGCTCTCTAGTAGGCTAGAGACTGCCAATCTGCCCAGCAACCAGTGATGCATTTTAAATTGGTTGGCTGGCAGCCAACAGGTGCTGGCCTCCATTGGACCAGGTAAATGAAGTCATAAGGGCTATATAAGTTAAGGACTGCCCAGGAGGAGCAGCAGTAGCCATGATGAAAACTCAGAGAGAGAGAGAGAAGAGCTGGACCATCTGAAACTTGCTCTCTCTCAAAACTCGTGATCAATGAACTGCTTGCCTCCAGAGGGAATCTCCACCTGCCTCTGGATGATACATGTGAATAACCTACCTGAGCTCTAACTAGATATATAGCTTGCAGTAACTCAGATGTGTGATCAGAGGCTACTCCAGCCACCCTGTTTGCTCTATGGGATTTATCTGATACTACTCAACTCTGTACCCTATTCCAACACTACTCCTTGTAACTAATAAAGTTCTCCTTTGTACCTAGCATGGGAGACTTATTGGGAGTGGGTCTAGATTATACCTTGGGGTCCCCTTGGTTCAGCTCACTAAGGGAGACCACTACTTGTGCTTCCAACTGAGGGAAGCACCCCAAGTTCTTGAAGTGAGTCAAGTACCCTTGAGGGCTACTAGGCCTGTGTTTCCCAGAGGGTGCAGTGCCAGGATCAAGCCTGTCCCTGGGTGGTGGCAGCTCTACCCCAGGCTAGCAGGTGTGCTCCAGGAAGAGGGTCAGCCGGACATGAGGCACCCCCAGGGAGGCACTCAGAGCCTGGAAGGTGGTTGGGTGCAGTGAGTAGGTGGCTCAGTGCAGGAGCACCCCCTACTGGCCCACCACACAGGTGATGTACAGAAAAACATGGAATTCTTTCCTAAACTTGTATCTATTCATGTCCTGTTTCAATGCTGGATGATAATGTACATTTTAGCTACATAATCCATTGTTGTCTTAGATTACAACACTTGGATTCAAGAGTGTTGGCTTAATTCTGGGAAGTATTTGGCTGGCACAACATCGTCTCCAAAACTTTCTAGTTAAAGTCACTTTCTTACCTTTGGCCCCAAACTCTTTGAACACTAAAACTGATGAATCACTTTATGCACCTAGGTAGTTTCATTTAGTTCATGGGAAAACTTAGTATGAAAAGTGCCTCAGATGTAAGTGTTGGCAGGTTTGCAGCCTTCATTGTAAAGTTGTTTATTTGTCATGGGAAATAAATGAAAAAAGTGAAAGAAGACTTAGTGCTCCCATGGTAGAAAAGCCTTGAGTTTAAAGAAAGAACAGAGCCAGGAAAGATTCTATTTCAGAAAATGAAGTTGTTTGTCAAAAGAAATTATTAAAGAAGTCAAAGATATAGCCTTTATGTTCCAATAGAGATATTTAGTAATATTTACCCGGTCAATAATCCATACACCACCTTTTTGTAGACAAAAATAAAGCCTCAACAAGCAGCAAGGCTAGGACCTTCCTCAGCATTGAGCTGGCCAGATAAGATGGTATTTTAGCAGAAGTCCATTGCACAATTCGTGTCAGAGTGAAAAAATTATAGCCACTTTCAGATGAGTAGATTGGCTACAATTAATAGTTCCTGCAGCATTTCAGTGCTGCGATGTCTACTGCTTCCACAGCTCGCTATAAATGAAGGTGGGTTTTTTTGCACAGCTCTGCTAGTGCTTTTTCTTTATCGCATCAGAAAAAAAGGTAGAGCCCATCACAAAGGTGGCAATGTCTGTTCTAATATAGATAAATGAATACAATTAATAGGTGAAAGCCA